AGAGTCATTCATGAATGAATAATGAACTCAGGAAAGATCAATGACGTGTTCTCTTAACCCTCTCAACCTATTTTGCTGAGAACTGAATAAAAGGAAAGTTGCAAGGAAGAGATGATGAGAGATTTAGGAAGAGAAAAATATAGTTGCTGTAATGGATAACTCTTGAAGGAATGAAATTGGGCAATTCATCTAGTTTACTATGAATGCTCTTTCAAGTTTCAACCATGAGTCACCTAAGTAATTTTTTCTTTGCCATTTAATTCCAATATTTATTTGTTTTATTATTTTCCAATGGTAAAATAAAATAGTGTGCAAAAAACGAAGTTTTTTTTAAAGAGAGGAGTCAGTAAAAACATCTTGGTGTTCTTTGCTCTGGTATATGACATACAATTAATATAATGTCATAAAGGGTTTTTCCCTCAAGGAATTATTTTAAACATCTAACATAAACTCCTCTTCTTTCATAATCGATGATGAGTTTTTGTAAAATTTTTAATGATGTAGAATAACTGCAAATTCAATAGCACAGTGAAAATCGGTCATTAAAAAATAGCAGAACAGGCTAGGTGCAGTGGTGCTTGCCTGTAATCCCAGCACTTTGGGAGACTGAGGCGGGCGGATCACTTGAGGTCAGGAGTTCAAGACCAGCCTAACATGGTGAAACCCCATCTTTACTAAATACAAGAAATTAGCTGGGTATGGTGGCATGGGCCTGTAATTCCAGCTACTGGGAGGTTGAGGCAGGAGAATCGCTTGAACCAGGGAGGCAGAGGTTGCAGTGAGCCGAGGTCGTATCACTGCACTCCAGCCTGGGCAACAAGAGCAAAACAATATCTCAAAAAAAAAAAAAAAAATAGCAGTGCAGGCAATTGATGGTGCTAAGTACCACGGTGTTGCATGCATGGTAGCATACATCATGTGACAGATTGGAAGAGTGAAGAATGACAGGAGAACACTGCTTAGTGCCCGGTAGGGTGCTCTGTCTCTCAGCCGAGAAGGACCTTTTATTCCCAGCATCATGCCAGTCTGCTAAAGGAAAGCAGCCCTTGCTCCAAGCTTCCAACTCAGCTTATATTAGAAGATGGGGCTGACATCAGTCCTGTGGCGTTGCCAACAGGTACCGCCACCTGGGATGCCTCAATTCCTAGGCACTCCAGTGGTGGCCAGGCAGCAGTGTTTCTTGCTTTTTGTTTGTTTGTGTTCCTTTTGCTTTTTAAATCATTTTCTGACAAGCCGCACACCAACAAGCACTGTTTCCGTATCACAGAAGGAGGCGAGAGAGAAAAGAGTCAATAGCCTTTTAAAATATTGACAGCCTTGGTCTATTTCCATGGCTAAGGGGAAATTCAGATGCCATGTTGAAGGTTTCTATTGAACTTTTAGTCACACCTCTTACGATTTCTGTTATTCCAGGAATAGCCAGTCTCTGATGGCTCCTGCTGAGATGATGTTAAGAGACAATACTCATAATACGTTCCACCTTTCTTTGGGGCAGTTCAAAAATACTTCTTGTATATTCAGCCAAACAGTCAGGAGTAGGGAGTTAAGTTCGACTCAAGTATCGCTGCCTAAAGCGAAAGCCGTCTTGCTGAGTGAGAGGGAAACTCTCCAGGAGACAGACCTGCCAGCAGTGATGCCACCTGTTGCCTGCTGGGTGCGTTTTATCGGCACGCTCTGGGCTGGCTCCCTGGAGGAGCCCAGGAGGACTGAGGGGAGAGGGAAGCACCATCCCTGGAGGTGTCTGCGTGGGCTCCTCGGGCTCCAGTCCTCTTCCCCTGCCTCTCGCTGCTCCCTCAGCTCTCCTTATCAAGAAGATCGGTGGATCTGCATTTTTTTTATCTGTTGAGGTAATCCTATGACACTGGAATGCCAGGACAAGGGGTCTTCATTTAGAATCTAGGGAATGAGGAGGGGACAGTAACCCCTTGGATTGTCCATAGTAGCCTGGACACGGACTGACTGTCTTTCAGCACCCCATCCAGACGCAAGGCAAATGAATGGCGAAACCTGTCCCAGAATGTCGGACTCTCCACCCCCGGCTCGACAGACTAGATGGTTTTCCTAATTCGGTGTTGTCGCATTACTTAGGGAAGTTGTCTCAGTTCCTCTTACCTTTGCCAGGCCCCGGAGCTCATGTTCGCTACGTCCCTTCTTTCGGCTCCCCTTTCATTCCTACTCTGCCGCACTGTTTCTCGGCGGACACCCTTTGTCATTTTAAGGGGACAATTCTTCATCGTACAAGGGACCTTCCTGCTCTCTGAAGGGCGTTAGTATTCCTGGCCCCAGACACTAACTTCTATTATTGATCCCCCTCATGAATGTAATGCACAGAAACACCCTCATCAATTCCCAGACACCCAGGGTTTGGGAGTCATGGGTGCCCTGGTTGAGAGCTGCTGCCAGAGGCTGGGACAGGCCCCTGCTGTGCCATCTAACCCAGTACTACCGATGCCTCTGCTCTCCTGACCACATCCCCCCTTGTCTGTAAAATTAGGCTCAGATTTCAGTGGGAAGGCTTCCCCGACTGATTCGTTCCTCTAACATTTACTCAGCAGATATGTACGGACACCTGCTCACAGTGCCAGGCACCATTTGAGGAGCGGCCACCCATCCCTGCCCCTTCCTGACACTGCCCCGCCTTAATCTTTCATGTCCATGTTATTCTAAAAGTGTACCGAGGTCATCCAGCTCCTACCTAGGAAGGAGCTTTTCTGGGACAATGACTACTTCTACTTTTGTTTTTATCCCAAGATGTGAAACTGTCACCAAGGGTATATTTTATTTCCATAACAGGGAAAATGGTTCTGAGGTGTCATTTTTTTCTAACCGGAAGATTCTATTTTTCCTGATACCTAAATGTGATGGGGGATCAGCATGACAAGTATTGTGAGTTCCTTGGTCAACAGTAAACGCAGGCCAGGCGCGGTTGCTCACACCTGTAATCCCAGCACTTTGGGAGGCAGAGGTGGGTGGATCATTTGAGGTCAGGAGTTCGAGACTAGCTGGGCCAACATGGTGAGACCCCCGTCTCTACTAAAAATACAAAAATTAGCTGGACGTGGTGGCAAGCGCCTGGAATCCCAGCTACCCGGGAGGCTGAGGCAGGAGAATCATTTCAACCCGGAAGGCAGAGGTTGCAGTGAGCTGAGATCATGCCACTACACTCCAGCCTGGGCAACAGAGAGAGACTCTGTCTCAGAAAAAAAAAAAAAAAAACCAGTAAACGTGACTTGTGCATCATGCAAAGAGGAAAGGACCATTGCACACTCCTTGTTTCCCGGTGCATGCTGAGTAGACCTGGTCTGCTGACCTCCCAATCATGACTTCTGAGACAGACAGCATCGTATGCCGTCTGCCTGCCTTGGCCTCATTGGGCCCAGAGATAGAAGGCAAATGGGTGAAAAATAGAATAGCCAGAGAAAAGGAAAGCAAGTACAAACTTAGGAGAATCTGATGGAGAACTGGAGCCTTTTGTTTTGTTTTGTTTTGTTTTGTTTTTTTGAGACGGACTTTCACTGTTGTTGCCCAGGCTGGAGCACAATGGCACAATCTCGGCTCACTGCAACCTCTGCCTCCCGGGTTCAAGAGATTCTCCTGACTCAGCCTCCCAAGTAGCTGGGATTACAGGCATGTGCCACTACGCCTGGCTAATTTTGTATTTTTAGTAGAGATGGGGTTTCTCCATGTTGGTCAGGCTGGTCTCGAACTCCCAACCTCAGGTGATCCACCCACCTTGGCCTCCCAAAGTACTGGGATTACAGGCGTGAGCCACCGTGCCCAGCCAAAATGGAGCCTTCTTCATATCTTTTCTTTTAGTTTTTTATTATGGGAAATTTCAGCACACACACCCACATTAATTTTAGTAGACCAAAAAAAGCAAAAAACAAATCAATACATTTTCAATACAAAATGAAAGTTTTGTTCATCTCATGTAGGGAAGTAGCCAGAATAATATAAGAACCTGCCCCGTGCTCATTGCCGAACATCAGCAGTTCTCAACCCAGGGCCATCTTATCTATGTATGTGCCCACTCACTCTGCCCTTCTCCCACTGTGTTTTTTGTGTTTATTTTATTTTATTTTATTTTATTTTATTTTATTTTATTTTTTTGAGATGGAGTCTTGCTCTTGTTGCCCAGGCTGGAGTGCAGTGGCATGATCTTGGCTCACTGCAACCTCTGCCTTCCAGTTTCAAGCGATTCTCCTGCCTCAACCTCCTGAGTAGCTGGGGTTACAGGCACCCGCCACCACACGCAGCTAACTTTTGTGTTTTTAGTAGAGATGGGATTTCACCATGTTGACCAAGCTGGTCTTGAACTCCTGACCTCAGGTGATCCACCCGCCTCAGCCTCCCAAAGTGTTGCGATTACAGGCATAAGGGACCACACGCAGCCCTCCCCGTATGTTATTTTAAAGCAAATCCCAACATCAGATAATTGTATCCATTAACATTTCTATGTGAATTTTAAAAACCATTGCCATAATATCATTATGCCTAAAACAAAGCAATAATCCCTTGAGATTTCTAGTGGCGTTCCATATTCCAACTGTAGAAACTTTTTCAATCTGAAATCCGAGTGAGAAATTACACCTTCATTGGGAAAGAAGCTACAAAGAAACCAAAACAGACCTTTTTGTTTTCTTATAGGAAAGAACAATAAAACAATGGGAAAGTGATTTCAGAGAAGTAGCTGTGGTCTTTGCCAATTGCCGGAGGCCTGTCCAAGCTTACCTGGGTGCAGTCCTTTGGCACCCCCAAACTCACTCCCTGGTTGCAAGTGTGCATTGCCAGGCTTCAGTTAACTCTCCGTGAAGGTTCATTTCATCGCACACATTTTACAACAGTGCTTTCTACTACATTGCTAGTCGTTTAAAATTTGGCCACATGGCAAAAATGTGTGTAACACAGGGTTTTTGTTTTTTTTTTAAGTGTTGATTGAGCACATAATTCAAAAGTCAGAATATTAAATAAACATCTCTGCCCTTTCTTTCTTCCAACAGGCAGCTCAGAGAACGGCTCTCCGCACTCTGTCTGACAGGTACATTTTGTCATTTTTATGAACTATAAATTGCTTTATGAAACATTGAGCCCTATTGTGGCATATAATTCATAATCGGATTTTGTCCCTAAAGTATCTGTGAACTGGGATGTTAAACATTTTGCATGCTTGGATTTGTCATGCATGTGTGGAGTTTATCACTGCAAAAATCGCCTTGTTGTATTTCATAGCAAATATGAAGAATCCCTTGTTGTGCAATGAAACAAGAGACAAGAAACTTAGAGAGAGAGGCCTGAATGGTGCGGTAAATTCTGAACTTTGGAATTGGCTGAGCTCTAAGCTCATTGTTCAGCAATAAGTACTTCATTTATTTTGAGATGTTTTCTTCGGACTTTTTCCATATCATTTCACTGGGAGCTATCTATCTTTTGATAAGATTCTCTCTCTTGAAATATTTTATGCACATAACCCAACAACTCACGGTCCTACGTGCTTGACTTTTTACTCCTTGCTTTGGCTTCTTTCTCCTGACGTGTGTTACTGAGTGAGATGTGTAAACCTCATCAGGAAATACACACAGGCTCTATTTTATATCCTGCTTTGTCTGAAAGGCTGGAGACAAAGAGTTGAATGAGGGTGTGTAAAGTCACTTTCTAGAATAGGCCAGACCCTTGGTTTGGTTTGGTTGGTTTTGGTTTTGGTTTTTTCACTTACTAAGATTGGAGAGAGAGTGTGTGTGTGCGCGTGCGCACGCGTGTGCATGTTTTAAGGAACTGTCAGGAGGTAAAGAGGAAGTACCTGTGTGTCTCCACAGCATTAAAAGCAGCAGGAGGAGCTGTGCCTTGCCTGGCTGGCTGGCACCTCCTCATTGTCTAGCTAACCTTCACCACCTTGCCTTTCTTTCCAGTTCCTTTTTCATGGAATGAGCCATCATTGACTGTGTAAACCAGCTTAGCTTGGTGCTTCCTCCAAAGTAAAACCTGTCACTTAGGCGAATTATCTGGTGTGCGTGAGTGAAAAGCATTTTCTGTGTGGTGGCAGACTGAGCATGAGTATTTTTATTTCAATTACAAAACGTTCCCCATGACAACCACACAAGCCTGTGTGTCCTGAGTGGCTGGCACATGATCTTCTGGAATTGCTTTTGGGATTTTCACAAAAGCTGATGACTGCGGTGCTTCTGAGTATGTCAGTAGGAGGAGGAAAGAGTCTAGATCAAAACACATTTAGAATATAACGTAGGCATTTCTTTCCTATACATATTTCTTTTCTGTCTCTGACTTTTCTTCTTAAGTAAGCAATTCCTTCAACAAAATGCACTGAGACGCAAGGGAAAACCCTCAAAGTTTACAAAACTTTGTCATTGTTAACGAGTACAAGATTTCTTTTGGGGATGATGATGTTGTAGAAATAGATTATGGTGATGGTTGCACATCCTTGTAAGTATACCAGACCGCTGAATTGTATGCTTTAAATGGGTGAACTTTATGGAATGTAAATTATATTTTAGTAAAGCTACACATATAAATACAAAATGTCATTACGACCTTTAGTAGAATGAATCAAAACCTATTTTAGTAAAATATGGATTCATTTTGAAGACATGGTCGCAAATACAAAGACAATTCATCAGAAACTAGGACTGATACATTTGAAGATTTCTTCCCAAAAGATATACGACTTTGTCCTAAAGAGAAAATGTGCGTAGATTTTAATGATGAACAATGCCATTTCCTTTTTTTCTGATATTTTCACAAAAAAATCCCTTGTCAAGCCCATTCCTCACCCAAAAACAGAGGTTTTCACTGTCACCATTCTTCTTACACATTTCTTTATTCTCAAATATAATAGGGCATTTCCCTTACTGTACTGTAGCTCTTTTTGTTTTCTTTTTTTTTTGTTTTTTTTTTGTTTTTTTTTTTGTTTTTTTTTTTTTTGGTGAGACAGAGATTTACTCTTGTTGCCCAGGCTGGAGTGCAATGGCACGATCTCAGCTCACCACATCCTCCGCCTCCCAGGTTCAAGCAATTCTCCTGCCTCAGCCTCCCGAGTAGCTGGAATTATAGGCATGTGTCATCACGCCTGGCTAATTTTGTATTTTTAGTAGAGACAGAGTTTCACCATATTGCCCAGGCTGATCTCAAACTCCTGACCTCAGGTGATCCGCCCAGCTCGGCCTCCCAAAGTGCTGGGATTATAGGCGTGAGCCACTGCGCCCGGCCATGTAGCACTTTTTCTATTCAAAATTGGTCATTTCAAAGTGATGAGTTGACCTTGTCTGCTATTCTAGCAATGCGGTTGTGTAAAGCGACCTTCTCTGTGCTTTTTCTTTTTTCTTTTTTTTTTTCTTCAAATTGTATTTTAAGTTCAGGGGCACATGTGCAGGATATGCAGGTTTGTTACATGGGTCAATGTGTACAATGGTGGTTTGCTGCACCTGTCAACCCATCACCTAGGTATTAAGCCCAGCGTCTGTTAGCTGTTCTTCCTGATGTTCTCCCTTCCCCGACACCTCACCAGCAGGCCCCAGTGTATGTTTCCCCTCTTGGGTCTCATCATTCAGCTCCCACTTACAAGTGAGAACATGCAGTGTTTGTTTTTCTGTTCCTGCATTAGTTTGCTGAGGATAATGGCTCCACCCCTGTCCCTGCAAAGGACATGATCTTGTTCCTTTTTATGGCTGTAGAGTATTTTATGGCATATGTGTACCATATTTTCTTTACCCAGTCTATCATTAATGGGCATTTGGGTTGATTCCATGTCTTCACTATTGTGAACAGTGCTGCAATGAACATACAGGTGCATATGCCTTTATAGTAGAATGATTTATATTCCTTTGGGTATATACCCATTAATGGGATTGCTGGATCATATGCTATTTCTGCCTCTAGGGCTTTGAGGAATCGCCATAATGTCTTCCACAATGGTTGAACTAATTTACACTCCCACAAACAGTGTACAAACATTCGTTTTTCTCCACAGCCTCTCCAGCATCTGTTGTTTTTTGACTTTTCAATAACAGCCATTCTTTTTCTATTGTGTATTTGCTACGAATTCAGGGCCACAGAAGTAGTCCCCATAAGTGATAAGCATCTGTAACCATTTCAAGATAGAAATTTCAAGATAGAAATTTCAAGATGGAAATTAAAACCCTTCTTCAAAATAATGATTTTAAAATACCTACTGAATTAATTGCATTCATATTTTCTAGTTTGTAAGTAGAGAATAACTTATCAAGCAACAGATGTCATTTTCTATCACATTACTTACTCTTTTGAATAAACCAATATTTTCTAGAAAAATGCCCCAAGTGCCTCAAGTCAGGCTACTTACTGTATGACTTGCCTAATGTTCTGTCTGCCAGAGGAACCTCAGGGTGGGAATGGAATTGAGTAAAGGTCTCCCCAGGTCCTGAATATCCCAAAGTGGGGTTCTAGGCCCAATACCTCTGGCTACTTGGAGCCTGGTATGAAGCTATTATACATTCGTTTACACAAACCATCCTGGTTTCGTAAACTTTTTGCTTTGAGCCTGTTATCAGCTCTTTATAGAAAATTCCATAATGATTAGGTCGTGCCTTCCTCTTTGTTCTTGGAGGAAGAAGCACTTTTCAGACCTCACAAGGTGCTTCCTGAGTTCTGTAATTCTGGGATGGGACAGAAAAGCCCACCCTGGCTCTGGCCATGCACACTGGCTCCTCATGGAGGAGCATGTCTGTGACACACTCTGGGTCTTATCTTCCTTCAGGTCCTCAGTGTCCTGCAAGTTTGCTCATCCGTGGGCTCATTTCACTTCCACTGAGCCTCAACCTTGAGTGTCCAGTGAACACAAGGACATTTAGACAAGGCCGGAGCTATTGTGTTCCAAGATGTACAAATCGATGATGAAACAGGATTTCATTGACTTGGGTTTGGTGGAAGGACATGAGTTTACACTGTTGGGAGCCGGTTTTTGTTCTCTGTTTCCCTATAAGAAAACCTGACTTCAAAGCCTTGAGATCTGACCTGATGAGGCCAGTTATACAAAAAAGAAAGAGGTGCATTTCCCTTTCCCTTGCTAGACTCCGTCTCAAAAAAAAAAAAAAAAAAAATCTCATCCCTCTGGGGTGCTGGAGGTTGGAGAATGTCCAGACGTCTTTGGAAAGTCAATCTTGTCTTTTCATTTCTCCAGTCTCCTGGTTTATTTTCTAAATTGGCATTCCAGCACAAATCCAATATCTGACAGTTCAGACTGTATGCTTTAAAGTTCAGAGAATCTTCTGTAATCGACGCACAATCTTGATAAATTTAAAACTGTGATGTTTCCATTACATAAATGTTAAAAATCAGCTGTGATCATCCCCCAAAAAAACCTTTTCCTTTGCTTGGTCTTGCCTGACCAATGGACTTAATTTATGACTCACCCCAAATAGGCAAAATGTACTTTCAGGGTGAGACTGGATCACCATGGCAAGCCGAACGGGAGTTTGGGCTTCAGCCCCACTCGCTTGCACCTGCTGCCCACCAGTGACGCAAGGGGTCGTGACGGAAGGGGTGTGTGAGAGTGGGATGGTGCGTTGTCTGTTCTTTTCTACCCCTGACAGTAGAATATTTAAATCTATTTTATACCACTGAGAGTCAGCTGGCCTACCAGAGGCCCATTTATGTCCCCCAAAAATGAAGAAAGCAGACAAACAGGGCAAGAAGAGATGGCAAAATTCTTTTTTCCTTTCTGGTTTTTGAGACCGGGTCTCACTCTGTCACCCAGGGTGGAGTGCAGTGGTGCGATCACAGCTCACTGCAGCCTCGAGCGATCTCAGCCCTCCCCATGCCCTGCCCAGTGCCACGGTAGCCACCACGCCCGGCTAATTTTTGGACTTTTCGTAGAGGCGGGGCTTCGCCATGTTGCCCAGACAGGTCTTGAACTCCTGGGCTCAAGTGATCTGCCTGCCTTGGCCTCCCAAAGTGCTGGATTACAGGTGTGAGCCACTGCACGCGGCCCGGCAAAGTTCTTGACAAAGTAAACAGGCCAATTATAAGAAAATCTCAGTTTGTAAAGGG